ATGATAATGGCTTTGAAGCTCCTTTCCAAAAGACTAAACTAGTGTGTACATGGTGACACTCATGTATTTCTGTGAATGATACAAAACAGAAAACACGAACCAGAGCTAGGCCTTAGCTGGTCCCTATGAAACAGAATGAAAAAGGAATGGGAGTAGGTCTCTAATAGCAAATAACTGATCTTTGGAAGCAGAAAAGAAGGGGTAAAGTCTATGTAATATTTCAGAATACCCATGTTTTCCTAGAGTTCCCTGCTGTGGGTTCTTTCTAGAACCCATAGTTTCTAAATTAAAATAATATTTTGCCCCTTCTCTTTTATTTCTAGCCATCCCATCTTTAAAAAATAATATAATTCCCCCAGTCCCAAGATCTTAACAAGGTATTAGTATAAATCAAATTTCCACTAAAAAGTAATTAAATAATTATTACCATCCCCCTTTTTACCCTGATTAAACTTAACCCTTCCAGGAAAGATTTTTACATTTCTTTAAAATACCACACAATGTTGAGATCTCAAAGAGTATGGAAGAAAAGTTTGGGGTGAGTGGCTCTTACCTTTAACTAAACTGAATACTTGTTCTGCATATGTGGTAGATATGGCCATGGGGGAAGGAAGGAGAGAGAACACTTTATATGTTCAAGTCCATTTCCAACAGGAGGAGGAGGGCCAGCCACAAATACATCTTTTCCTCCTCTTTCTGGGCTTTCATTTACACTTAGGAAAATTATCTCTATCCAGCTACAGTTTACTCCCTGAAGTCTGAGGCCTACATGTCCTTGGTCAGAAATTTAGAAGTTTTGACTTTTTTTTTTGACAATTCTGTGTGGTTATCTTATAAGGATCTCAAAATTAAAATGTTCAACCAGAGATCAGTTACCTTCACCAAACTTCCCCATCAGTATCTCTCACAACTACTTGCCCAGTTACTCACCCAAATGCTATGCTTCACTCCTGCCTTTTCATCAATCCTCAACGTCCAGCTCATAAGTAAAGCATGTCTATTTCACTCCCAATACACCTTCACAAAAAATATCTACCTAGTTCTAAATCCATCTGCTATGATCTGTCTGCTGCTACCAATCTAGCCCGACCACCATCTGCTCTGGATGACAATAGTTTGCTCTGCTTCCACTTCCACCCCTTCTATCTATCTCCACAGTGAAGTCAGAGAGATCGCACCAATTATTAAAATCCTTCCCAAACCACCCCAAATAAACCTAATCTTTACCACGGCCCACAGTCACCACTGTTTTCTCATTCACTCTCTTCCAGTGTTAGGAAGTGTTCATCAAAATATACAACTTTAAAAAGTTGTTCCCAAGAGAGTGCATTGTCACCCTCACTGGGCCACTGATGAAGGCACTACAGGCATGCCAAGCAGTTTTTAGTTCCAAGAAGTGAATCGCAGGGGTCTTCTTGCTTTGGGCTATTACATGCTGCATTTATCATGACACTGTAGAGGCCAGTGTCAGAGAGGGCTCTCAGGTGTGTAGTTCTCAAGGTGCTGGCTAAGGTATGTTCTTTGACACTTTCTACTCCGAGTCATTCTTATTCTACAGGAGATTATTGGCACAGAGCCAGGACAAAACACTAAGTAGTTATCATAAATTAATGATTTATTGTTTCTTCCTCCAACGTCTGATAATCCTATTGTTTTCCTGAATTTAATTTGTTTTCCTACTTCCTAGATTTTGTCAGTAGGACAATGGTGGTTGTTTTAGTGGTAAGTCTTTCCGGCATCTGAGACTTCTTTTGTGAGGTTGAGAGTAGCAGATCTTAAAGTTCAAGGTTTCAGACATCTGTTTTTAAGTGCAAATGGGAGACTCTTGCATCTTGCCTTTCTAGTCCCTCCCTACCCCATCACAGAATCAGAATTTTTAAAAAATGTTCTACTCTTTTAAATTATTTCATCTCAATGGGTCAATTCTTGTTTCCTCTGGCTATTCACCATCTGCCTTCCCTGAAGTCTAATGTATATAACTGAATATGCTCATCCTTCCATTCCTCAACTATCGCAAAGCCTAAAATGATATGGTCACCTTCTCTTAAGATATCACCTTACCAATAAATTCTTTTTTGTGGCTCAGAATGAAATGTTATCACATTTCCAGTGGTCATTGTCTCTATAATTTGAGAGATGTAGAGGTTTTCTACACATTTATGCATATAATTAAACTCAGAGGGAAAAGTGCATTCTTTCCCTGAGATCACAGTGAAATAAATGCCTTAAAAAATCTTTCTTAATTTTTGAGAAAAAGCTTAAAGTCATCCCAATCCTTCTTTCCCTTTAAAAACAAAACTTGTGTCTTCATTAATTTTTTTTATAATTTATTGCTTTTTATAAATCTCTTCTTCCTCCACTCAAATCTCTATGATCTCCCAATCCTGCCTTAATCTCTGTATCCAAATATCTTTATATTGTGCCTCTTAGAAACTGAAATTTCCTAATATAAAGCATTTTGTGCTCTTCTTTCTGGTTGCCAACTTACAGAACAAATGAACTTTGATTTCTGTTTAGCTCATAAGGAAAATCAATGAGTAAACTGGCAATTTCCTTTATAAATTACTCAGAGAGCCCTTGAGACATTTAGACATATACCGGAGTTGGCAAAAGTAGGTTTACAGTTATTCTTATGGAAAAAGACATGCAGGTTATGATTATAATAGCTTCAATAACTCAAAAGAATGGCACAATGCAACTGTAAACCTACTTTTGCCCACCACTGTATAAATAAGCCTTGAGATGAATTAGTTTAATCTTATATGCAGATTTACAATTTTCACTAAGACAGTATTTTTTAAAACACTAGTTGATATGCATAATTTTGAAAATATAATTCAGTGTTTAAAAAAATAAACCTTATTTTGAAAGGCAACCATTAGATCTTAAAGCAGAGGGAGCATCGCTAAATATCAAGTTCTCCGTATATTAAATAACATTTTTAGTAATAAAATATCCTGTCATCAACTTTTATTCATTGAAACATTTTAATCTAATACATTGAAACATAGAATGCAATTCATAGGAAGGGTTAAGGGACCATGACTGTACATTTACAATGTACTTAGCATTGTAATTAGATTGCATCAAATGCACAAGAAAAGTGAATACCATTTTTAAAAAATATATTTTTATTGATTTCAAAGAGGAAGGGAGAGGGAGAGAGGGAAACATCAATGATGAGAGAGAATCACTGTTAGGCTGCCACCTGCACACCCCACACTGGGAATCAAGCCTGCAACCAGGGCATGTGCCTGACTGGGAATCGAACTGTGACCTCCTGGTTCATAGGCTGATGCTCAACCACTGAGCCACAAGAGTCGGGCAAGTGAACATTATTTTATTATATCTATGTCATTGCAAAGGACATAGAGAAGCCTGTTGCAAGTAGATAGAATTACTTAATTTAGAGAGGAGAAATGCCTTTCTTAGAAGTCATTGAGAAGAAGAAAATAATTTTGTATTGTTATGTTGCTAATTAGATGAAAAAAGAGACTATGTTTTATTTCAACATATCTTCTGGGGAAAAAAATGGGGTCTTTTACAAATCTCATAAAGAAAACAGTTTATTTTAATTCTGGCAGCTCAGCATGGACTAAAATTGTGGTATTAGATAAGCTTTCTTTTTTATTGACCTGTAGCAGCTTAAAAGGCAGAGGGGAAAAAGCATACCCCAAAATAATATATTTAACTCAGAGTGCAGCAATATTGGCACTCCCATACAATACTTGTGAAAGTGTAATTGCTATACATTTTGCTGATAGGAAATTTAGCAATACATTTCAATGCTTACAACTATTTGAGCAGAAATTCCAGTTCTAAAAATTTACACTAAGAAAATGATACAAATAGATATAAAATTATATGTGTACATGTATATATGTGTCCACGTGTACATATACACACATATGCGTGTACTAGTATATATATGCATATTTTAACATTCATTATATGAATGTTCATTATTGTGTAAGTCCTAATAGTAAGTATATTATTATAGCACATCCATACAATGGAGTATTGTGCGATCATTTAAAATTACTGTATAGCCTGGCTGGTATGACTCAGTAGTTTAGCATCAACTTATGAACCAGGAGGTCACGGTTTGATTCCTGGTTGGGGCACATGCCTGGGTTGCGGGCTTGATCCCAGTGTGGGGCATGTAAGAGGCAGCTGATCAATGATTCTCTCTCATCATTGATGTTTCTCTCTCTCCCTCTCCCTCTCCCTTCCTCTTTGAAATCAGTAAAAATATTTTTAAAAATAAATAAAGAATAAAGTTACTGTATAGATTTACTTTATTTATACATTTGATAGGCTTCTAAATGTAAAAAAAAATCTAAACATATAAAATTCTATAGTGTATCAGAGTATTATTGATGTTTAAATAATTGCGGGTCATAACTATGAATGTATGATATCATTGGTTTGCAAAATTTTTTTCTTTCTTTTTTTCATTTATCTTTATTGTTGAGAGTATTATAGATATCCCCTATATTGCCGTCATCCACCTGGTTCCCACCCTCCCCAGGCCTTTTTCACACTATTGTATGTGTTCATTGATTATGCATATGTGCAAATTATTTTTCTTTATCAATTTTTGTGTTTTACAAATGTTTCTGCCTTGGTCATTACTTAAAAATCAGCAATGAGCCCTAACCGGTTTGGCTCAGTGGATAGAGTGTCGTCCTGGGGACTCAAGGGTCCCGGGTTCGATTCTGGTCAAGGGCATGTACCTTGGTTGTGGGCACATCCCCAATAGGTGGTGTGCAGGAGGCAGCTGATCGATGTTTCTCCCTCATCAATATTTCTAACTCTCTATCCCTCTCCCTTCCTCTCTGTAAAAATCAATAAAATATATTTTAAAAAATCAGCAATGAGTAATAAATACTAATGAAAAAGATCTGACAAAAACTAACAATGATGTATATGTATATAACTATGCATCTATACAGATTTGTGCTAATTAATATATTTGTATGTCCTTTGTGTGCACTTACCTTTGGTAAGGAAGCTCGGGATCCTGAACTCTGTGTGGTCATAGTCAGCACAGTAGTTATTCCCAAAGCTACCCTGGCCGGAGCAGCATCCATATTGATCCAGAATGAAACCCATGACAGAATAACAATCAGGAGACTGGGAATATACATCTGGATCAGATAGTATCCCATTTGTCGTTCAAGATGGAATCGCACTTCTATACATGTAAACTTTCCTGATTGATTGAAAATTAAGGCAGTAATTGGTAAAAGTACGTCTTTGTTTTGGCATCAAATCTCACAGGTTTTTCCCCCCCATAATTTTGTCTTAAAATTTTCCATTACCACAAAAAGAGATCCTAAATCATATATGCAAATCCATTTCTGAAAAGTATTTTTTCTTATTTTTCTGCTAGCATCTAGAAGCAACAAGAGAATGTACTATTTGAGGAAATAGCATAGTATTCTTATCACTTCACACTTGATTAACACTGCATACTTGTCAAACTACTCAAAGGTCTATTATTTCACTTGATTCTAACAAATGCCTCTGAGATTGATGAGACAAATTACTCAGTGACTGTGTTGTTTTTTTCTTGCTCATTGACTGTTTCTGGTGCTTTCAAGTATTTATTTAGAGTCAGGTACTACTATTTGTTCCAGAAGCCTTTACATTGACTTTAAAGTCAGTGCTAAAGGATAAATACAATTGAAGTTGAATAGTTCCTTAAATGCAATATCTGTAATTTATTTTATGTATTGATAATTTAGAAACTATGAATGCTAACAAATAGGAAAACATATTATTTCCCATTGATAACTTCAAACATAACTTAAGAACACACCTAATAAAAAGACACCTAAGGTACATTTGTCTTATATATTCACATCTTTGTGTCTCTATTAGAGTAATTAATAGAGGCATAAATTGTGGTTTAAGTAAACATTTTGTTGACATTTCTGCTTATCCCCTGGTTCTATTCCCTACTCTATTGCCATGTTACCTCTCCTTAAAATAATTGTTTATCTTAATCATCTAACTCTTGGTTTTATTCTTCCCTTATTCAAACTATTTTAAGAAGGATAAGGTCAGGGAGTTAGCACACTGGTCTTTCTTTAAGGGACATTCTGTAATCTTATTATAAGAGAAAGAATCAGAGAGCACAGCTGGGAAAATTGCTAGTATATATATTGCTAGTGTAGGGTTCAGTACAAAATTTCTATTATTGTGACCTGAGCCACATGCTACAGTATTGCATGGTCTGGGCTGCAGGAAGAAGGGATGGATGAGATTCCAGAGCTTAAAAGTCTTTACAGAGTTTCATAAACTCTGGGAAAGTTGGATTCCACACTAAGTGTCTAGTAGTCAGAAACATATATGCCAGCTACACATGATCCTTTCATGAATTTATCAAATACATACAGAATGTTGAACCATTCTTAGAGTATATGAAAATACTTTAGATGTTTAAAACTCTTAAAATATAATTTTTAAGTTTTTCTTTAAAATAATGAAATGAAGTAGAGCAAGAATAATAAGGCATTTTCGTGATATAACTGTTAAATAACTCACGTAATCTCATGGTGTAATCAGTAACAATTGCTAACCATTTGGGTACTTTGAATACATTCTTTACAGTTCATATGATTCTCAAGAAAAAGAAGCCCTCATTGTGAGGCTATGTTTAACATGGTGACTATAGCTGGTAACATTGTACTGTGTAATTGAAATTCGCTAGGAGTCTAGAACTTAAATGTTTTTGCCTGCACACATCAAATAAATATGGGAGGTGATGAACATGTTAATGAACTCAATAGGGGGAATCATTTCACAATGTATACTTATATCAAATCATCACATTGTACACTAATAATCTTACAATTTTAGTCAATTATCCCTCAATAAAATTGGAGGGGAAGCATTTTTGCTGATACAGATTGAAAGTAAAATTTTCCTGTTTAGAGTAAAATGGTTCCTCTCCCCCTTCCTCCTGGGGTGGACAGGCTTTTAGTATTCTCACATGTACAGACAAATTTTCCATGTTAAAATCCACTCTATTGTTTTACTCAATAAATATTTATTGAGCATCTGTGTACTTTAGCAGATCCCAGACATACAGAAATGAAGAGATACAATCCTTAGCTTTATTAATTTATGGTAATGAGAGAAACAGATAATGTATAAGTAAACATGTCAATTGAAGGTATAATTTCAGACAGTGAAAGCAGGGGAGGAAGGGAGTGGATGTGGGTGTTCAACCTGTGCTGGTGATGAAGGGTCATTTGAAGGCCGGCCCTGAAGTATGTGAGAGTATTAGGCCTGGGATAATTTGGAGAAAGAGGCTTGTGCCCAGGAGAAAGACAAGTACAAAGGACCTGAAGCCGGAATGAGCGTGGCGGATATGAGAAAGTGAGCCACTGTAACCATTTACAGAGCAAGGCAAGGAGAAGCAGAAAAGGGTTTGGGGCAAGAGATACCACCAAGTTTGTGCCACCTTGTTACAGCGTCCTGAAGAAACGAATCCATCACCCAAAACCAACTCTAGAGACTTTTTAGCATTTCTCTGAAAGTTCTTTGTCATTAGAACTGCCCCTAGAGGGTGGAGCAAGGACACTGGTGTTGACCTGTCTGCTCGTTGTTGTGTAGAGATGTTAAACTTGAACGCTCTACTAAATTAATATGAGCCTCACTCCTGAAGAACTGTGGCAGGGGGTGGGAAAATGGCAGCGATTTTTTCGCCTGACTGTGAATTGATTAAGAGGTAAAAAAGATTAGAGGCCTTGTATAGTAAAAGGTCAGATCACAGTTCTGGGAAATGCTGAGCCCAAGAAGAATCAGTTACTGTAATAAAGTGATAAAAAACAGCAACTGATGCAGGTGGGAGGCCATGAATTAACCACATAGGAGGGATGCCTCTGTGGAGGACAGTTTAAAAGAATGTGTAGGAATAGGTTAGACAGTATAGATATTATGGAATACCCCGTGTCAGCTGAATGTATTGAATCTTTCAATCCATTATGTGAATAACTATATTTGGCTTCTATCCTCAAAGGCAAAAGATAACTGTGTCAGTGTGAATAGTAGGTGCTTAAGTAATAATACCTTAAATGCATGAAATTGTACCCAAAACTTTAGACAACTGATGTCTTAAAAATTAAAGAAAGCAATTTCTTTCATTTTGTTAACAAACACAATGTTTATGTCCCAAGAAGCGTTAAAAGTAAATTTTATTATTCACATAGAAATTAAAGGAACTTTTTTGGAAACATTACTATGTAATTATGAGCTTTTCACAAAAAATATGTAAATGTAATTAAACACCAAACATTTCTTTGGTCCCATACAGACTGGTTATATAATAATAGGTAATAAGTCAAAGCACCTGTAACTTTCCATTTTCTGCTCCATTACTATGGAAAACATTGAGCTATAAATAGTAAAAATAATTAACCTAGCACTACAATTAAGAAACATCTGACTACCATAAAACCACAAGTTGTAATGAAGCATACCTGTGTTGTAATGTTTAGTGCAGTATCGTAAATCTTTCTCTTCTTTCAACAGAAATTGGGGCAGAGTGAGTCCTTCTGCCACTTGTACAGGTGCCTCATCTTGCCATTCAAAAATGAGATCATTCATTGTGTATCCAACTAGGCAAAGCATAATAAATAAATTAATAAATATAGCATTAAAGGGCATTCAAGGAGATGAAAAAGCACACACACTACTTACACTACGTGTACAGTTTACATAGGATGGGAAGACCAAGCACTGTCACCTTAACTCTATCAATTGAACTATTCCATCTCACAAAAGTCTACTAAAATCTATTTATATGGAATATTTATCAAATAATGTAATAAAGTGTAGTAAGCTACTAATAAGTATAACATACATATACATCCCTCCCTTGGTATTGGCAGCTACTGTATTAATTAATTAATTCAACAATTCATTTTTGTTCTACTCCATTGGATTTCTGCTCACCTTCTCTCAAATTATTTAGGACTCTTTCAACAAAAACTGAAATGGTCACTGTTTAGGGAATGACTTCAACTGTAACATTGCGGGGGGGGGGGGGGGAGGGGGCGGGTAGAGAAGTACCAGAGCTGACACCTTCCTTAATTTAATAATTAACTATTTTAGTTGATGGTATCTGCATCTAGGTTCCAAGTCCCAAAATGAACAAAATAATATTTTAAATAGAAATGTCTGCTATTCGGGAAAAAAAAATCAGAGTACAAAGAAAATCCACATAGAATAGTTTGTGGAGGAAGACACTCTTGCATTTACTGTGAGTTCAGGAGAGAATGAACTAATGTATTTTGTAATAAGTAGGCACCTTCCAGCAAATTAAATTTCACATTTCTATTGGAGAAGTACTTAAGAAAGAGCAGAATTTTATATTTTCCTTCCTTCTGAGTGAGAACTTGTTCAAATGTACACTAGGAAGCTGCTGCAGAGAAAGCCCGAAGTCAATGGAACCCAAAGGGGAGCCTTGTTACAATGCACAACCTCCACGGAGGCACAAAGAAAGAGGCATCAGGCCTGGCCTCTGAACTAAGTCAAGTATTCAGGTAAATGAAGCAGAAGCTCTAGGTCCAAGAAGCAAGGGTAACTGTCCCCAACAAATTTTCCTGTAACTTATATTGTAAGGGAGAGCCCCTGAGCCTGATTAGAGTCAGCTGGCCTGGTGCACATTAGGCTAAACAAAACAATGGGTAAGCAAGGGAACTGATCACCCTTCCCCCTTCTCCCAATGTCTGAAAAATAATCTCCCCAAAAGAACCGAATAGGTCTAGTTGTGGTTGGAGTGACTTAACTCAGAGACGCAACTGCACCCACGGACTCTTGGGAATACCTGGCAGCAGCAGAGATGGTAGTCATGAGGACATCGGTGATTAGAGCAGTGGTTCTCAACTTTGGCTGCACATTAGAATCACCTGGGAATCTTTTTAAAATCCTGATTTCTGGGCCACATCCTCCGGAAATTCTGTTTCTTTGTTACTAATGTTGTGGCCCCACCCCATAACAAAGAAACAGAATTTCCGGAGGATGAGGCCCAGAAATCAGGATTTTAAAAAGATTCCCAAGTGATTCTAATGTGCAGCCAAAGTTGAGAACCACTGCCTTAGACTGTCTGGATTTTGCTGTCAAACTTAATAGCAGCACTACCATCAGTGTAATGGATCCTTATGCACTACTTGGTAGAGTTTGTAAAGTCATCCAGACTTCAGGGGTACATCTGAATTCTGGTTCCAGACAGATATGGAAGATACAGACAGAGTCTGCAAGACTATGCTCTCGACCACTGGACGTAGCACAGCAAGGACTTATGCTGGACTCACTCATACTGGAATACATTTCATTGAACCCTTCAAGTAATGATTTAATTGCTAATCATAGAAGGCTTTTACTTTTACTCATAAGTCCTTTGATGTATTCATTATAAATACAATTTTACAGAGAGAAAATAGGTGCACATTTCTCAAGGTTCGAAAGATAGTAAAATAGGCACCAATTCTTATTTGTTTCTAGATAAGGCATGTACCTTATCCTCCCATAACTGAAATCTCTAATGACACAATATGGGCAGTTTTATCCCAATTTAGACAGATAAATGGAGAACTGAACTGAAACCTCATTTTGTTTTTGCATTCTAAATTTTTCTTAGGGGCTTCTGTGAGAAGAAACTCGCCCTCTGAAATTCCTTCAAAAACAAGCTTGCATTAGTCTCCAATGCCATTCATAGGCAGCACATTTAACTTGCTCTTGTATTAAATAATCATCCACATGAAATGACTTAGGTATGGGCATGTCATAATCAAACTATGCTTCTTCATTTTGGTCCATAATATATTTAAATTGGAAATCAGAGGAAAAATAGTATGATGGCATGTGTAAGGGATAATTCATTATTCTGAGCAACTTACTAGATATCCAAGGAAAATAACTAAATGAGACCTTTGCTTCAATAAACCTTCAAACAAAGCTTTAAAAAATCAATACTCTTCTACATAGTTCAAAGTGTTTTAGCATCCTTACACTTTCGGTTGGCAGACGTTTATACAAGTCTGAGAATGTTAAGGAGAACAGACTGGCTAAGGAGATCAATGCTGTGAGTTGAATTGCCTTGTACTGTAATAAGCTTCACAGCAAAAAGAACCTTATTCAGGGAACATTAACCCTAACCTCAGCCAGAAATCTCATTTGGCAGCTGCAGTGAAACTTGTAAACGAATAGCTCGATGCAACCAACACTTGTTTCTTCAACAAGTATTTATTGTGCACTGACTGCATGTAAGGCATCCGGCTGGGCATCAGGGAGTGTGAGGTGGTGTTGCCAGCTAGAAAATAAGTGACATGGGAGAGGTACGGGTGGTGTGTGCCTTCAGAAGGGGGATCTATCATATCCACTTGAGTTGCATCTTGAGAAAAGGCAGGACCCGTATACCAAGAATGTGAGAGGGCAAAGGAAATAGCATCATCCACTGAAAGAAACTGCAAACTTCCAGGACTTATAACAGATCTAGCAATAACTTCATTGGTCTAGAGCAGCGGTTCTCAACCTGTGGCTCACGATCCCTTTGGGGGTCCAACAACCCTTTCACAGGGGTTGCCTAAGACCATTGGAAAACACATATATAATTACATATTGTTTACAGTAGAAAAATTACAGTTATGAAGTAGCAACGAAAAAAATTTTATGGTTGGGGGTCACTACAACATGAGGAACTGTATTAAAGGGTCGCTGCATTAGGAAGGTTGAGAACCACTGGCTAGAGCCAGTTTGCATAAAGGAGCATATGGAACAAAGAGATAAATTAATGTCAGGTAGTGTAAAGTTTAAATCCTAGGTGGAAAAGTTCAGTCTTTAAAAATTCCCTGTGGGCAATGATAAACAATTGAGTCTTTTGAGCAGGGAAGTGACGTGACAAGAATTGTGCTTTAGAAACATTATTCCAGCAGGATCCTTTCATGGAATTCACAAGGTCTGAAGTGCTTTATAATCCTGAGACATAATTTACGTTTTTCACTGTGTTGACATTTGCCCAGATGGTGAAAAAACAATGGTGGGTAAAAGTTCTGGTGCGTTAGCATAATTAAAGGCAGTGGCCCCAAACTGCTGGCGGTTATTGTGCTCTTTAGCTCCATATATCACAGCAAGAACAATGCACTTTTATTTAAGAATGTTCTTGATCCTTGATAGATACTTTTATCAAATTTTGGCCCTTATATAAATAACTTTTACAATTCTGTGTGTCAAAACGGGAAATGCGTATCAAGCAAGTCAGCTGCATACTATACTATAATAATTCTTTTAAGGAAAAGCGCCGGCATGATTGATTTGCAGGGTAAACCAGCTGGTTTTTCTTGAAGCACCATTTTCACTTGAAAAAAAAAACACAAAACAATAAAACACACCATGTCTGGCAAACTGTGGATATTGTGATTAGGTCTATGGCAGACCATTTTCTTAAAAATAAAGGAAGTGAGTGCATCTATCACACCTAGGTCAACGACTGATTTGTTGTCAATGATAGATTTGCGCTTTCAAGTCATAAGTAGAATTTTGAAAAAGTTATTATCCCAATACTTAAGGATTTTTTGATGAGTTTCAAGGTGACATTAACAAATGTGACCTTTCAATATGTGTGTCAATGTTTGGAAAATATGAATAATTCATTAAGCTACCATTTTCTAAATAACCAAAGCATGATGTTAAAAATCATGCATAGGGCCAGGCCAGTGTGGCTCAGTGGTTGAGCATCAATCTATGAGCCAGGAAATCACAGTTTGATTCCCAGTCAGAGCACATGCCTAGGTTGCAGGCTCGATCACCAGTGGGGGGCATGCAGGAGGCAGCCGATCAATGATTGTCTCTCATCATTGACGTTTCTCTCTCTCTCTCCCTCTCCCTTCCTCTCTGAAATCAATAAAAAGAGTCATGCATAGGTAAAAGATCCATTCAAAGTGCAAGCTAGAGAAGTGATTTTAATTTACAAGAATATAGAGAGTTCATTGATTTGGTTTCCAATTTCACATGCAACTAACCTTTAAAGAACTACCATCATCAGAAAATAAAGATATGTCCATGTTACAATGGATTGTTTTGTGTGGGGTTTTTTTTGCATATTACAGAATTACCTTCTTTTAAAGGCTGAATAGAATTCTTTTGTATGCATATACATTTTCTTTATCCATTAACCTGTCAATGGGCTCATAGGTTGTCTCTGTACCTTGGCTATTTCGAGTGGTGCTGCAATAAACATAGGAGGGCTAATATGCCTTTTGCACATGTAGTCGTAGTAGGAAGTAGCCTTTGTAGATTGGCTTCTTTCACTTGGTAATATGTATGTTGGTTACTCCTTTTTGGTGATCCTGATTTCAATTATTTTGGATAAATGTCCAGAAGTGGGGTTACTGGATCAAATGGTGGTTCTACTTTTAATTTTGCAATAATAGGTATGAACTTTGAGGATATAATACTAACTCAAATAAGTCAGTCATAAAAAGATGAATATTGTGTGATTTCACTTATATGAGGTCTAAAGTAGTCAAATTCATATAACCAGAGAGTGGAATGGTGGTTGTCAGGGGCTGGGGAGAAATAAATGAGTCAACAAGCATAAAGTTTTAGTTAAACAAGA